TCCCCCGCCTCCTCATCGTCCTCATCATCATCAGCATCAGCATCATCATCAGCATCAGCATCTGCAGCATCACCATCAGCATCATCATCATCATCAGCAGCATCCGCATCCTCATCCTCAACACCATCATCGTCCTCCACCTCATCATCCTCATCATCATCCTCATCATCATCCTCATCCTCATGGTCATCATAATCTTCCTCAGCATCATCACCATCATCAGCATCAACATCCGCATCAGCATCAGCAGCATCCTTATCATCAGCAGCATCCTCGTCCTCATCAGTATCATCATCAGCATCAGCAGCAGCATCATCACAACTATCAGTAGCATCCCCATCCGCATCCTCAGCATCAGCAGCAGCATTAGCATCAGCAGCATGACCAGTATCATCATCAGCATCAGCATCAGCATCCTCACCACCATCATCATCATCAGCATCATCATCATCAGCGTCACCAGCATCGTCCTACTCTGCATCCTCATCCTAATCATCAGCAGCAGCATCATCTGAATCGGCATCAGCATCGTCGTCACTCGCATCCTCATCCTCACCCTCGTGTCATCATCAGCATCACCAGCGTCATCACCCGCACATGAGCATCAGCAGTCAGTATCAGCATCAACGTCATCACCTGCCTCGGCATAATCAGCATCCATCATCATCAGCATCAGCATCCTCACCATCATCATCGGCATCAGTATCAGCATCACCGTTGCCAACAGCATCGGCATCAACAGCATCATCATCATCAGCATCAGCATCAGCAGCATCATCATAATCATGAGCATCAGCAGCATCATCACCTTCATCAACATATTTATCAGCATCACCATCAGCATCATCATGCGCATCCTAATCGTCAACAGCATCATCATCATCATCATCATCATCATCTACCTCATCCTCCTCATCATCATCCTCATCATCATCATCCTCATCCTAATCCTCGTCTTCATCAGCATCATCATCAGCATCAGATTCATCAACATCATCATCATCATCATCAACAGCATCCTCGTCCTCATCAGCAGCATCATCCTCAGAAGCAGCATCCTCATCACAACTATCAGTAGCATCCCCTCCCGCATCCTCAGCATCAGCACCAGCATCAGCATCATCAGCATAACCATCAACATCATCGTCAGCATCAGCAGCATCATCATCATCATCATCATCAGATCATCATCATCATCATCATCAGCATCGTCAGCATCACCAGCATCGTCCTACTCTGCATCCTCATCCTCAGCATCCGCATCAGCAGCATCAGCAGCATCGGCATCAGCATCGTCATCCTCATCCCGATCCCCATGCACGTCCGCATCCTCATCCTCAATTTCATCTTCATCATGATCAGCACAAAAAAAGCATCAGCATAATCGTCATTCTCATCCTCATTCTCACCCTAATGTCATCATCAGCATGATCAGCATCATCAGCACATCAGCATCATCAGTCAGCATCAGCATCAACGTCGTCACCTGCCTCGGCATAATCCGCATCATCAGCATCAGCATCCTCACCGTCATCATCGGCATCACTGTCAGCATCGTCTTTGTCAACAGCATCAGCATCGTCATTATTATTATCATCATCATCATCATCATCATCATCAGCATCAGCAGCAGCAGCTGCATCATCATCGTAATCATCAGCAGCATCATCAACATCATCATCAACATCATCATCTTCATCCGCATCATCATCTTTGTCCTCGTCTTAATCATCAGCATCAGCATCGTCATCAGCATCTTTAGCATCATCATCGTCAGCGACAGCAGCATCATCATAAGTCCGCATCATCATCAACAATATCAGCATCCTCATCGTCATCTGCATCATCATCCGCATCCTCATCCTCAGCATGCTCATCATCAGCAGCATCAGCATCGACATCATCATCGTAATCATTAGCATCAGCATCAGCATTAACAACCTCATCATCGTACCCAGTATCATCACCAGCATTATCATCCGCACCCACATCCTCATCATCAGCATCATCATCATCGGCAGCAGCATCAGCATCATCAACATCATCGACAGCATGATCATTTCCGTCGTCGCCCTCATCCTCATCCCCATCATGCGCATCAGCGTCGGCATCATCATCAGCATCATCAGCATCATCATCATCAGCATCATCATCATCATTAGCAGCATCATCATCAGCAAGATCATCATCATATCCATCACATAATTATCATTCTCAGCATCCCCGTAATCGTCCTTGGAGTCAGCATCATCATCATCAACAGCAGCATCAGCATCATCATCATCATCAGCAGCCGCATCATTATCATCATCAGCAGCAGCAGCATCATCATCAGCATCATCCTGAACCTCATCCTCATCCTCGTCATCATCAGCATCAGCATCAACATCATCATCACCAGCATCATCATTGCGTGCAGCAGCAGCATCAGCAACATCATCATCCTCGTCATCATCATTCTCACCCTCATCCTAACCCTCATCCTCATGTCATCATTAGCATCATCAGCACATGAGCATCAGCATCAGCATCAACGTCATCATCTGCCTCGTCATCATCCGCATCATCAGCATCAGCATCCTCGCCATCATCATCGTCATCATCATAAGTCCGCATCATCATCAATGTCGTCATCCGCGTCATCATCATCATCAGCATCATCATCATCGTCATAATGATCACAATCATCACCATCATCATCCTCATCCTCATCCGCATCCGCATCCTCAACATCATCCTCGCCATCCTCATCCTCATCTTCATCCTCATCCACGTCCTCGTCCTAACCTTCCTCATCCTCATCATCATCCTCATTATCATACTCAGCAGGATCAGCAGCAGCATCAGCATCATCATCAGTGTCGTCATCATCAGCACAATTATCAGCATCATCAGCATCATTACCATCCTCATCATCAGCATCGTCACCATGATCATCATAATCTGCATCATCATCACTATCCACATACGCATCCTCATCACCATCATCATCATCATCATCATCATCCTCGGCATCCTCACCCTCATCCTCATCTGCATCCTTATCCTCAGCATCAGCATCATGATCATCATCATGATCAGCATCACCACCACCATCACCATCAGCATAATCATCTTCATCATCAGCATCATCAGTATCATCATCAAACCTCTCCTTCTCTTCTCATCCTTCTCCTCATCATCCTCTTCCTCTAATCCTCCTCCTCATCCTTCTCCTCCTCCTTCTCCTCCTCCTCCCCCCCCTCCTCCGACTCCGACTCCTCCATTCATTTCTATTCTAAATAACTCCTCCCTGTCGGACCCCGAGGCGGGTCGAAATGGCGGGCCAGGCGCTTGACCCTGATGTCTTAAAACTGACAAATAGTTTCACACATGGAGGGCGATTGGTTTTCAAAATGTGGTCTTCGCTTTAACGAAGCTTGCAAGAACTTCACGGATTGAGGGCGGGTCGTTTTCAGAATGTGGCTCTCGCCTTGGCGCCGCGCGCATTCTTTGTAAATATTTGCAAGAGCTTCACGGAATGAGGGCGGGTCGTTTTCAGAATGTGGCTCTCGCCTTAGCGCCGCGCGCATTCGTTGTAAACATTTGCAAGAGCTTCACGGATTGAGGGCGGGTCGTTTTCAGAACGTGGCTCTCGCCTTAGCGCCGCGCATATTCGCTTTAAACATTAACAAGAGCTTCACGGATTGAGGGCGGGTCGTTTTCAGAATGTGGCTCTCGCCTTAGCGCCGCGCACACTCGTTTGAAACACTTGCAAGAGTTTCAATGGTTCTCCTGATTGACGTACCAGAACTGGTGTTTTGGAACGATTCGGGATCCTCAGGGCGGAGCTGTCACGTTGATCGCCAAGACGTAACAGTCAGTTTAACTCGCGACGTGAAGTCCTGAGAATGGTGCTTTGGCACACTTCAAGATGTTCACACGGTTGTCCCACGACGGGGCACTTCCATCTGTGGAAATGACCCCTTGCAGAGACCTATGCAGAGGGATCTTGGAGGAAGGGTATATCTCAAGATCTGGCGGGAGCACTCCGATCTGCGGCCTGGATCTCTCTGGGCCCGCCCCTCTCTCGCCATAAGCACACCAGTGATCAGCCCAGCCTGCTCAGAGGGCCGATGCGGTCGGCGTTGGGGAGGCGATCGCACACCATCTTCGAGCGCATGTTTAAACTCCCGGCCATAACGGGCGGGGGACGGGAGGGGGCATAACATAGCGCCTCCCCCCAGACTATGGTGCCAGACGCACTGCTGCAGTGTCGGGGGCGCACTGAGGGGGGGAGCGTTACGTTATGGGGGGGAGGGGGGGGAGGGTAGGGGACATACCGCGCGCTATGGCCCAGAGGGTAAAATGATACCGGAGGAAAAACCCAATCAGATTTTTGTTTGGACTATAGGGCTATAGGGCTATAGGGCTATACGGCTATTGGGCTATAGGGCTATACGGCTATCGGGCTATAGGGCTATAGGACTATCGGGCTATAGGGCTATAGGACTGTGACCTATAGGGCCATAGGGCTATAGGGCTATGGGGCTATAGAGGTATATGGGCTGTGGGCTATAGGGCTATAGGGATATAAGGCTATTAGGGCCATAGGGATATAAGGCTATAGGGCTACAGGGCTATAGGGCTATACGGCTATAGGGCTATAGGGCTATAAAGCTACTGGGCTATTGGGCTATTGGGCACCCCCGGGCACCCGGGCACCCCCAGGCACCCGGGCACCCCCGGGCACCCGGGCACCCGGGCACCCGGGCCCGGCCACCGAAATCGGCCACCCGGGCACCCCCGGGCACCCGGGCACCCGGCCCCGGCCACCGAAATCGGCCGCTCACCTCACCTCAGCTTTATATCCGCTAGGACCCCTACAGAAGCAAGCTCTGATTAGGGAAAAACACTCTCGTCGCGACATCCGAACCCTACCCCCGCCGCCCATCCAGTTGCTTGAATCGTTGATCGGCGAGGGTCGGGTTCGGATTTCGCCGCCGAGCTGAGGCCCCGACCCGCCACACCAGGCGGCGCAGGAAGGTGGCGTGGACGCGGGCATCTCCCTGGCCGACGTACTCGCTGTCCTGGAACAGCCTCTGGCTTGTTCTCCCCTCGACCTGGGGAGAGGGAGGGCGGTTGTCATCGGATGGTTCGCGACATTCCAAATTCTCTGGCGGGGAGCGGGGCTGGTGGCGCTGGGCGATAACCTCGCCTTTTCCGCTTCTGTGCGCGATCCAACGTGCGATCCTACACAGAGTGCGCTACGGGGCACGCATCCAGACATCGCCCTCCAGACGGGTGCATTACTTTGTCGAGGTGGGGCAGGATCTGGAAGCCTGGGCAATCGCAATGCGAGCGACGACGGCAATGCCAGATCCCTGCAGGCGAACGTGTATGGGACCGACCGTTCCCCGATCGGCGGTGGCACCAAAGGAGTCCTCGCGGAAAGCGTAATGATTCTGCAGACCAAAAACCAAGCATAACGCCTTTGGTAGGCGGCTGGAGACTTCCAAATCCCAAATCCTGGGCCCCCTTTGCAAGGATTTGGCCAACGTTCGGCCTGGTTTCCTGGCTCCCCGTTCGAGATCTTGGTGAAAGATTACCATCCGCTCCAGTGGCAAGCTGCATTCCCAGGTTCCCAGAACAGAGAGTGAAGAGAGCAAAGAGAGTAAGAGAATCTCTCACCAGCCCTTTCAAGGCGTAGGTGGTTTAGAGCATTTCCTCTTCCAAACCCCTTCTTCGCTTTCGGGGAGGGGTCGATCAATGATCCCTATTAATAAGCACCCCCTGCCCCAGGCGACAGGAAGCCAACCAGGACCAGGAAGGCCCCCCCCATCCCTGTCAAGAAAACAATGTGAAATCCACTTAGGGGCAAAATCTTGGGTCATGATCGCGGGGGCCGCGAACTCTTTGTAATGCTTTGTGACAGGGACGGCGGGGTGCCCGCATATTGCCTGCTGCTCGCAGGGCCAGCATCCCTGAGACAAAAAAATACGAAATGCACTTCGAGACACAATCTGGACCGTGCGCGGGCACCCCGCGATCACTGCGCATTGGTTCTCGACTGGGCTAGCGGGGGTGCTGGCATATTGCCTGCTGTGTGCAGGCCCACCAGGCGCTATGACGGCCACCCCGCCGCGACTGCGCACTGATGTTCGACAAGGGTGATGAGGGCCTACACGTTTCCCGATGTGTACTGCCACGTGCGCAGGCGCACCTGGCACACTCTGCGCGTGCCCCCAAACGTGGCGCACCTGGCGGGGCTGGAGCATGCGGCACACATGACGCACGCGGGTCACGTGGCACGTCTGGCGCACGACGCGTGCCCGGCACGTATGGGCCACAGGGGTGCCTGGCGCGCCTGGCACGCCTGGCGAAACTCGCCCCAGCGTGGCTCACAAAGGGGTCTGTTTTGGTTCCCATCAGCTGTCCATCCAAAGACTACCCCTGAACACGCTGCAGCTCGGGTGCTACTTATGTGTTGGGAATGCTGGTGGGAGTGATCGAAACGGCCTACCAACGGGGAGGGTGTCTTGATCCTTCCCTCGACCTCCTCCCCCTGGGTCTGGAGGGGGGGATCGCGAACGGCCAAAAAGTCCAAGACATTCCAAGATGGCTCCAAGAGGGCCTCCGAGAATTCCGAAGATGGCGCAAGATGTTTTCCAAGACGCTGCAACAAGCCCCAAGACCGCTCCTCCGGAAAATCAATGTGTGTTGCCTTCTCGCGTTTTCGTTTCCGACGACCGTCCGAGGCCTCAAGAGGGCTCCAAGATGGCCCAATAGCGCGCTAAGAGGAGGCCCCATGAGGGGGGGGGGGGGGGGGCAAGAGCTCCGAAGAGGCCCCCAAGAGGCCCCAAGAAACTACCAAGAGCCCCCAAGGAGACATCCCAAGCAACTCCGAGGGGCATCCAAGACGCCTCTAGTTCACTGCAGCTCCCCGAGCTATCCAAATGACGCAGCGCTTCCCCTAGGCATCGTTCCTGGATGGGCTGGCGGCGATGCTTTTTGGTCCGCGAGCGATACGGAAGAGCCGCACGCCGTCAGAAAGTCGCAAGCAAGGAGCAACGACCTACTAAGGCTGGTGGCGATACTTTTTGGTCAGCGGGCTCGCGAAGCAGGTCGAAAGCCGTCCAAACACAAGCCGGGCCGCGACAAGGCAGCAGGAAGAGGCAAGCAAAGTGAGCGCGCGGGCAGCCACTCAGAGGAAGAAGAGCCAAAAATAACACTCCCAACTCGGTGGCGTGGAGACCCCGGTGGCGACCACCAAGTAGGCGCAGCCAAAATGGCGCGGCGGCGCGACCATGAACACGCAGAGGTCGATCACTCGGTGTGAGTCGGCACAAAGCCCGATGCGAGCAGGACCGACAGGCACACCCGGACAACTTCCGTGCCCTAGGCGACGCAACAGCACCGTGCCAGCGCAAGAGTGAAGAGAGGCAACCTCGTCACAGACAGGACTGCAAAAGTCAGTGCCTCGTGTTTGTACAGCAATGGCACATGTCGAAAGCGAAGTCCGTGTAGGAGAAAGCAGCCGACGGGCGCACAGAGCCACACATGCCGAAGTCCTCGCACCGAAGAGGCCAGCAGCGTAGCGAGACCCCACTGAACCCAAACGGTCACCAGTGGAGGTAGACACCAGATAGGAGCAGGCCAGGGGCCACCTGACCGCCCATCCCCAGCGTGATTCTTGCATGGAATTCGTAGCGGAACCTCACGGACCCCCTCCGGTCACCAGTGGAGGCCGACGCCAGCCAGGAGCAGGTCAGGGGCCACCTGACCGCCCGTGCCCAGTGTGAACCTTGAATGGAAATCAGGCTGTCAGAACACCATCAGACAGCAGTATCGGCGGCAGCCCTGGCCGCGCGGGATCAACCCGGTGAAACGAAGGGAGGAGGGGAAGTGCACGCCAGGCACGGTAAGCATCCCGCTGCGGCAGCGAACCGCTGCGGCATCATGAGGGCGCAGGAGGGGGGGAAAGGAAGCGCGCGCCGCACACGCGGAAGGAGAGGAGGGGAAAAGAAGAGAGACACGAGAAACGGACCCCACTGAACCCTCTCGGCCATCAGCAAGGGGGGGGGCGGCGCCGGCCTAAGGCAGCCGGCGGGCACCTCACCGCCCACACCCGGCGCAATACTTTACGTAAGAAAAAAGCCGGCGGGGCGCCATCCGACAGCGGCACTGGCGGCAGCCCCAGCCGCGAGGGAGAGCCCATGTGAAACAGGAGAGGAAGAGTCAGCGATCCGCTGACGCAAAATGAGAAGAAGGAAAAGAGCTCACCATAACCCTGTGTACACTGACGCGCGCGCCAGGCGCTCTGTATCGAAGCTTACCTCAGCACGCCCGCCACTGTCACCATCTTGCTGGTGTCCTCCACGCGAAGTCATGTGTAAAGCTAGGCGCGTACAGTCGTGAGGTAGCGTGCAACCACGATGATGAGGTCTTACGTTGGGCTAGCACATCACCCCATATGCGCCAGCGGGCGCGGGCAAGGCACGCTTGTTTGTTTGGCCACGCGCTAGTTACTGCAAGGGCCCGCCGGCCCCCGACAGCGAAACATCCCGGGCGCTCTTCAACGGGACGCTCGGCGGGGACAATAACGGCGGGCTGCCAGACCGAAGCCGCGCGGAGCGGTGACTGCGTAGGGAGCAGAAAGAGAAGGAGAGCAGGGAAACGCCGCTGACCGCAGCATGCCTAAGAGATAGGAGTTAGCAACGCAGGCTCGCGGCGTAGCTAGGCGCACCGCATGCCCGGCGATGTCAGAGCCGTATCTCGCCAAAACTGAGCGTGCCACACACTCAGTGTTACTGGCGATGCCGTTTCTCGTTCCACGAACACCATGGGCTCTCGGTCGCTCGCTTCCTCTTCCCAGCCTTGCCCGGCGAGTCGGGTCCGTCCTTCGTCTTGCCTTTCCCCTTGCTCGGGCGCTCTCCTGCCGCGTGGAACCTGGGGGCGGCGGCCCCGCCGCTGCCGGCAGCGCCGGAGCTGGGGGCGCTACTGACAGCCGCGAGTCTGTCAGCTGGGCCGCTAAAGTTGGCCTCGGCGCGCATGATCTGGCCAGCGCGGTGCGCGTCGTAATCTGCAGCCCCCCACGCGTGGGGAAATTCCGGCACGCGCCCGGCTGCCGCGGCGCTGGGCTGAAAAACGGCCGGGCGTTGGCGGGGCAGGTTTTGGCACAGCGTGCAACCCGCAGGTCGCTGGACACACTGCCTAGTTCCTGCTGCATCCTGAGGATGAAGGCGCCGTCGGACTCCCAGGAGTATTGTGAGTCGATCGTACGCAGCGGTGCGCGCACGCTCTGGCGACGCCAGGCGTCGTCGCGAGACTGCGTGGCCCGGCGGTCTGAGGACCTGTCGTAGCTCCACTGGTCACTGCGTCCGCGCGAGGAACCAGTCCTCGGCGCGTAGAATGGGAGCACCTCGGCGTCCTCGTCTGCCGCTCTGTTCCCTGCCGCGCACGCACCCCTCTGTAGGGGCCCAGCGCGGCGGATCTCGCATCCTCGGCAGCGGGGGCCAATCGTCTGCGACGCTGGATGTTTCGTCGTCAGCCGCCCATGTGTCGTGACCAGTAGCTGGGCCCCCATTCAGGCTCGTCTGCCACGTCCGCTTCAGACTCCTCGCTCACCTTGCTCGGGTCGCAATCCAGGACGTCTCCGTCAGGGTCCCTGAGTACGTCTGCGGCGGCAGCAGGCTCGCTTCCTGAGCTGCTTCTAATCTCTCTTGTCGCTGTTCGTAGGCCTGCAGGTCGAGACAGCGGCTGCCCGCTCAAGCCAGTGCCAGGGTGGGCAGGAAAAAGTTGCACCCCGAGAGAGGCGTTCATGACCACGCTGATCAAGGGGTCCAGCCTCTTCTCCTCATCACGCATCCGTTGGGGGCCAGGGTGGCACAAGGCCAAGATGTCTTCCTTGTCAGCCAACGTGGCCATTCGCTCCTCGAGCTGCTGAAAGGACATGTTGCATGGCGGAGTGGTACGGCCTGGAACGATTGGTCGAGATCCAATCCCGCGCGGGCGCATGCATGTGTCCAGCGTTCCCAAGCTAACGCCGCCCAGACGCATCACATGGTCAGGGGCGTCCTCGATGTCAAGTCTGGCCAGCCAGTGAACAAGTTCGTCTGTGCCG